AGAAAATGGTAATATATATCAATAATTACTTTAAATGCCAATGGATTAAATGCACCAACCAAAAGACACAGACTGGCTGAATGGATACAAGAACAAAACCCATATATATGCTGTCTACAAGAAACCCACTTCAGACCTAAAGACACATTTAGACTGAAAGTGAGAGGATGGAAAAATATATTCTATGCAAATGGGAAGCAAAAGAAAGCTGCAGTAGCAATCCTCATATCAGACAAAATAGACCTTAAAATTTTTAGGAAGATTACAAAACGAAGAACAGTACATAATGATCAAGGGATCAATCCAAGAGAAAGACATAACAATTGTAAATATCTATGCACCCAACATAGGAGCACCTCAATGCATAAGACAAACCCTAACAGACATAAAAGGAAAAACTGACAGTAACACAATAATAGTAGGAGACTTTAACACCCCACTCACACCAAAGGACAGATCATCAAAAACAGAAAATTAATAAGGAAACACAAGTCTTAAATGATACATTAGATGAAATGGAGCTCATTGCTATCTCAGGACAGTTTCATCCAAATGCAGAATACACCTTCTCAAGTGCACATGGAACATTCAATATTATCAGATTCTTTTTTTGAAGAATCAATATTGTGAAAGACTGTATTACCAAACACAATCTATAGATTTAATGTGATCCCTATCAAATTACCAACAGCATTTTTCAGAGAACAAGAACAAAAAATTTCACAATTCATATGGAAACACAAAAGACCCCAAATATCCAAAGCAGTCTTGACAAAGAAGAATGGACCTGGAGGAATCAACCTTCCTGACTTAAGGCTCTACTACAAAGCCACAGTCATCAAGACAGTATGGTACTGGCACAAAGACAGAAATATAGATCAATGGAACAGAATAGAAAGCCCAGAGATAAATCCACACACCTATGGACACCTTATCTTCGACAAAGGAGGCAAGAATATACAATAGAAAAAAGACAACCTCTTTAACAAGTGGTTCTGGGAAAACTGGTCAACCACTTGTAAAAGAATGAAACTAGAACACTTTCTAACACTATACACAAAAATAAACTCCAAATGGATTAAAGATCTAAACGTAAGACCAGAAACTATAAAACTCCTAGAGGAGAACATAGGCAAAACACTCTCCGACATAAATCACAGCAGGATCCTCTATGACCCACATCCCAGAATATTGGAAATAAAAGCAAAAATAAACAAATGGGACCTAATGAAACTTAAAAGTTTTTGCACAACAAAGGAAACCATAAGTAAGGTGAAAAGACAGCCTTCAGAATGAGAGAAAATAATAGCAAATGAAGAAACAGACAAAGGATTAATCTCAAAAATATACAAGCAACTCCTGCAGCTCAATTCCAGAAAAATAAATGACCCAATCAAAAAATGGGCCAAAGCTCTAAACAGACATCTCTCCAAAGAAGACATACAGATGGCTAACAAACACATGAAAAGATGCTCAACATCACTCATTATCAGAGAAATGCAAATCAAAACCACAATGAGGTACCATTACACACCAGTCAGGACGGCTGCTATCCGAAAGTCTACAAGCAATAAATGCTGGAGAAGGTGTGGAGAAAAGGGAACCCTCTTACACTGTTGGTGGCAATGCAAGCTAGTACAGCCGCTATGGAGAACAGTGTGGAGATTCCTTAAACAACTGGAAATAGAACCAGCAATCCCACTCCTGGGCATACACACCGAGGAAACCAGATCTGAAAGAGACACGTGTACGCCAGTGTTCATCACAGCACTGTTTATAATATCCAGGACATGGAAGCAACCTAGATGCCCATCAGCAGACGAATGGATAAGGAAGCTCTGGTACATATACACTATGGAATATTACTCAGCCATTAAAAAGAATTCATTTGAATCAGTTCTAATGAGATGGATGAAACTGGAGCCCACTATACAGAGTGAAGCCAGAAAGATAAAGACCAATACAGTGTACTAACACATATATATGGAATTTAAAAAGATGGTAACAATAACCCTATATGCAAAACAGAAAAAGAGACACAGATGTACAGAACAGACTTTTAGACTCTGTGGGAGAAGGCGAGGGTGGGATGTTTTGAGAGAATAGCATTGAAACAAGTATACTATCAAGGGTGAAACAGATCACCAGCCCAGGTTGGATGCATGAGACAAGTGCTCCGGGCTGGTGCACTGGGAAGACCCAGAGGGATGGGATGGAGAGGGAGGCGGGAGGGGGGATCAGGATGGGTAACACATGTAAATCCATGGCTGATTCATGTCAATGTATGGCAAAAACCACTTCAATATAATAATTAGTAATTAGCCTCCAACTAATAAAAATGGGGGAAAAAAAAAAGACAGTATGGTACTGGCACAAAAACAGAAATAAACAAGATCCTCTATGACCCACCTCCTAGAGTAATTTAAATAAAAACAAAAGTAAGCAAGTTGGACCTGCTTAAACTTAAAAGCTTTTGCACAGCAAAGGAAACTATAAGCAAGGTGAAAAGACAACCCTCAGAATGGGAGAAAATAATAGCAAGTGAAATAACTGACAAAGGATTAATTTCCAAAATATACAAGCAGCTTATACAACTCATTGCCAGAAAAGCAAACAACCCAATCAAAAAGTTAGAAAGACCTAAACAGACATTTCTCCAAAGAGGACATACAGATGGCTAACAAACACAAGAAAAGATGCTCAATATTGCTCATTACTAGAGAAATGCAAATCAAAACTACAATGATGTATCACCTCACACTGATCCAAACGGCCATCATCAAGAAGTCCACAAACAATAAATGCTTGAAAGGGTGTGGAGAAAAGGGAACGTTCTTGCACTGTTGGTGGGAATGTAAACTGATATAGCCACTATGGAAGACAGTATGGAGAGTCCTTAAAATACTAGGAATAAAACCACCATATGACCCAGCAATCCCTCTCCTAGGCATATACCCTGAGGAAACCAAAATGGAAAAGACACATGTATCCCATTGTCCACTGCAGCACTATTTACAATAGCTAGAACATGGATGCAACCTGGATGTCCATTGACAGATGAATGCATAAAGAAGTTGTAGTACATATACACAATGGAATATTACTCAGCCATAAAAGGGACACATTTGAGTCAGTTTTAATGAGGTGGATGAACCTAGAATCTATTATACAGAGTGGAGTGAGTCAGAAAGATAAATACCATATTCTAATGCACATATATGGAATCTAGAAAAATGGTACTGAAGAATTCATTTACAGAGAAACAATAAACAGAGATAGAGAATAGACTTCTGGGCATGGGGAGAGGAGAGGAGAGGGTGAGATGTATGGAAAGAGTAACAGGGAAACTTACATTACCATATGTAAAATAGAGAGCAAACAGGAATTTGCTGTTTGGCTCAGGAAACTCCAACAGGGGCTCTGTATCAGCCTAGAGGGGTGGGATGGGGAGGGAGATTCAAAAGGGAGGGGGTATATGTATACCTACGGATGATTCATACATTTGTGTGGGCTTCCCTGGTGGCTCAGAGGTTAAAGCGTCTGCCTGCAATGCTGGAGACTGGGTCGGGAAGATCCCCCGGAGAAGGAAATGGCAACCCACTCCAGTCCTCTTGCTTGGAGAATCCCATGCACGGAGGAGCCTGGTAGGCTACAGTCCATGGGGTCGCAAAGGGTCGGACATGACTGAGAGACTTCAATTATGATTGATTCATGTTGAGGTCTGACAGAAAACAGAATTCTGTAAAGCAACTATCCTTCAATAAAAAAATGAATCCAGCACCTGACTTAAGTAAGTGAAAGTGTTAGTCGTTCAGTGTTAGCCTTGCAAGTGTTAGCCTTGCATGGGGGCTAGTGTCAATCAAAATAATCTTAATAATTAATGGAGAGACTATTGTGTGACCTTGAAAAAAATGTCAAAATATTAAAAGGTGTCCTTTATAAATGTAAAAGAATGAAAATAATGTAACTTAGTACATGTAACTTAAAACACCAGAAACAATGAGAATTAAAGTGCTATTTCATTGTAAAAAAACTAGTCAAGAATAATCATACTCACCTTCTTGTCAAGTAACTTATGACACTGGGTAAGCACCTTTTCTGTACCACTGCAAATTTTCCTACTTGTGTGTGGAGTTTAGATTAGCTTCCACGATGTTATTGTTTGTGTTTTAAATGTTGTGAACAGCCTCTGTAATTTCCTTTAATGTGAAGTTTGTTACCAGCATTTCCTCTGGGACATTTTCATTCTTTTTATCACAACCTTCCTCATGAGTCTGCTTGCACTAAGTTCCTCTAGCTGCGTATCTAGAGGCTCTAGCATAGCAGCACTGGCAACATTCCCATGATCAGTGATTCCTTCTATAACCCCATTCATTCATGTCTCACCTCTAGCTTTATCATTTTCATTTCTTGACTGAAATTTAGTCTCTGTTGGCCATTTCTGATTACCTGCTTTGTAAAAGGTCACATGGGTGACAAGGAGACAACACAACTATGTGCTTTGCTGTCTGAACAAACTGAGTAACAGATGTGCAGTGACGAATCATTAGCAGGATCTGAGAAGTAATTTGACTAGTCACTGATCTTGAATGTGTCACATACTGACTTGAGAGCTTAACAGCTAGCAGGAAGTTTGTACTTCATGGAACTACTCACAGTTAACATACCACAGTAACTGAAATTCCAACTGTTGCTGTGAAGGAACTGGTTTATTTAACTGTATCAGTGCCATGGAAATTTAAGGACATGCAAACTGTACAAACAGAGGGCTGCCTATACATTACTTCTTTACACTGGCCCAGACAGGCTTGAAGAGCTGACTGTTGAGTAATAAACAGTCCATCTAAATTTACATCAGATAACTTATCTTAAGGTACCCAAAAGACAGTGTTAGTGCACGCTGAGTACATATGCATCAACTGGCAAAACCAACTTTAACATGTATCTTAGAATTACAGAACTTTAGAAATACAGAAAGGGTCACAATCGGACACCACAAATTATCCAGCATGTTTGTTATGAATTATTTCTCCTCCTTCGATTTCAATTTGCTCATACAGCCACTTTCGATCACAGCGACATTCCACACCACATTTGGTAGACCCGCAGGAAGGACAGGCATAGAAGCAGCCTAGGCAGTCTTCATCGAGGCAGTCACAGAGGTCCATTCCGCTGAAAATCAGGAGGCCCTGGCTATCGTAGACCTTACTCTTTGCCGGGATCACTTGTCTGTGATACAAACACAAGGCAAGTTATACACTTCATGCATATTTTATTTCTGAATATTTAGTTGACAATAGGGTAATGAAAAAAAATTTAAGGGTGATAAAATGTTTTGGATTATGGATGAAACCTTGCCAAACTGATACATGGCTTCCCTGACTCAAAGTTACTCTACAAACAAGTTAACAAACTGCTTGTGAGAAGAAGGCCCTATCTTGTAAAGGGCTGAAATATATCCAAAGGAATGCAGGCGAAATGTGTCCAAAAATAATAATATAGTTGCTAAAACTATTTATCCCTTACCAAAAAGAAAAAACTATGTAATAGTGGTACATTTTATTAGCAACCAATCTCTTTACTGCTTTGTGAACATACCTCTATTTTTATCATAGCATACCATCCATATGTTTTTTATACTGCAATTAATCTGTTTCTTGTTCTTTGACAGACTAGCAAATCTGGCCTAAAAGCACCTAATGACTCAATGGAAAACCTTCACAGATGTAATAATGGCCTGTGTAAAAAATAATTCTGAATGATTACACTAACATTTGTCAATTTGTATTTTAGAAACGTTCCATTTAAAAAGTCATATTCTAAACAATTTAGCTTTCTTGTTCTATTAACTACACCAAAATTGTTTCTATTTTGCTGTGCTTAGAAGTTTAGTCATGTCTGTCTCTCTGTGACCCCATGGACTGCAGCCCACCAGGCTCCTCTGTCCATGGGGATTCTCCAGCCAAGAATACTGGAGTGGGTTGCCATGCCCTCCTCCAGGGGATCTTCCCAACTCAGGGATCAAACCCTTGTCTCCTGTGGTTCCTGCAATGCAGGCAGATTCTTTACCACTGAACCACTGGGGATTCCATTTCTATTTTCGACATTAAAAAACAACCTTGCATTCTCATAAAATTTATGTTTTAGTTGCCACCTATAGAGCAGAGACATACAAATGATGTATTAATGTTTTTCAAATAATTATTTTAGTTACAAGAAGTATAGTATACTTAAATTATTTTAATTACTGTGCCAAAAAGATTATCTTATTCACTTCATTGAGACTTTCTCAGAAACAATTTTCAGAGAGGAAAGGAACACCTTAATTTTCTATGAGACCCTTGGGGGTTCTTACTAATTCCAGATTACCGAATTTAAACTATCTGACCAGAAAATTCAAAACTTTTAAGAGAAAGATAGGAAAACAATACAGATGTGAGGCAAGTTAACATACGACTTAAACAACACATAGTGTACCTGTCTGAACCAGCTGTTGCATTTTTGGTAAGCCTTCTTTTTTCTCTTTTACCAGTTTCTGGAGCAAATTCAGTTTGTTTTCCTGGGTTTGCAAATTGTAATGACCTCAAAGCTTTAGCAGTTCTTCCCTGAATAAAGGTTAACAAATTATTAACTCAAATCTTAATATCAAACCATACATAGATATTTCACTTAACATTAATCCAGATTATTTCTTAGCTGGGAAGACAGTCTGGAACTCGCAAAAAAGAAAGAAAAAAGTTTTAGTGCCCAAATGTAACAAAATTCATACTGGGTCCTGGAGCTATGCCTTTGAGGGGATAACAAAGGAAAAGCACTATAAAATTTTAATTATCTTTTAATTTGGCTTATTAATAGAAAGGAGAAAATTGAGAAAAATTCTTGCCAGCAGCAAGAATTATAAATTGCTTATAAATAGAAAACTTGAGAAGTCCTTTGACATACCAGTCCTTGTTCTACACTAGACAGCTTTATGAAATCTTAAAACTGTTCTGATAACGGTTAAATAATCTAAATGTAGGCATGTGAATAAGGAAGAGAGTTATAAGATATTTAATACTTACAATGTAAAAATGTATGCTTTTTGACAGTAGGGAGTCCTAAAATTAGCCTTGACAATAATAAGAATGAATTCAGAGCTAGACGCAAAGGAAACTCACAAGCATCTTAAAAACCCAGTTAAGAATGGGATAGTGCCAAAGTCAAAAGAAAGGCTGAAATAAGAAACAATTATTTCAAGTCACTTCTGAAGTTCCTTTTAAAGCAGCAGTTTTCAAGTCTTTCATAAAAAAGGGAATTCATTCTGTTGTATTTCAAACCCTTGCTGGCAGGCATAACCTACTGAGTTACTTCAGTATCAGAAAGGGAGCTAAGATTGTTAAGCTCTGGCAATGCCAGAATGTCTTAGCACTAGGAGTTGCAGCTTGAAAGTCTAGGGAATATTATATTATTCTTCCCCCAAGCCAACACTCTTTACCATACAATCTGGGTTTACACAAATATTTAGAAAACATCATCCATTTTTACCTCCCCAACTTTATATTCACTGCATTTAAGTCCATCCCTTGATATTCTAGTGGAACTGGTTCCACAATCAGCTGTGGAGACCAAAATGCTAGGCTGCTGCTCAATTCCCAGAGTTGGGCCTCTGCATCTTTGGATTCAACCAACCACAGATCGCAGTACGGTACTGACTGAAAGAAGTCCACATATAAGTGGGCCTGCACAGTTCAAATCTACGTTGTTTAAGGGCCAACTGTAATAAACAGTGATATAAATGATTTCTTTATAATTAAACAAAACCCTACATTGTAGAAGTAACAGAGAAAAAATTGACTCTACATACATCTGAGTCAGGTTTTCTTCTCTGCCGGTCTTCAGAATCAACATCCACACTTCCATTGATTATCTGTGTACATTTTGGACAAAGCTTCCAACCAGGTACAAGCTGTCTTCCAAATTTTGCACTCAGAAAAGTGGCATCATCTAAATCAATTACATGTAAATTTTTTTTGGCTAGCTTTTTGTGTATGTTAAATGGGTCACAACATGACTTCTGCAAATCCTCAAATCTGTCGATGTAAATTTTTGCATGATGGAAGCAAATTGTATTGTTTCCAGAAAGTGTCATTCCAGTTCTCAGTTGAAGTAGAAGCATGTCATTTGATGACAATTCTTGCAAAGTCTTGAAACCTGTATGACGAGTATAATAGGTTTTATGGCACTCATTTGTGGTACGGAGCTGGACTCCAACTGAACATGGATCCATCATGCTTGATTCAAGTAAATTTCCTCTTTCTGATTTTTGCTTAGAGAACACTCTCTAGCAGATCACCCTAGAGAAAACATTAAAGAGAGTCAGATTTGTGCTGCAAAATTTTTATCTGGGAAGCTGAAAAAGCATTTGATAAAATTCAAAGCCTGCTTAACAAAAAGACAACCCTTAGCAAGCAAGGAGTAGAAAGACATTTACCAAAAACCTACAAAAACATTAGAAAATAATTATGGCAAGTGTGACTATAGTAAATATGTCAATTCTACAGGAATTTATCTATAAATTCAGTATGATTACAATCAAAATTTCACCAGGTATTCCACAAATCCCCCACCATCCAGAATTTAGCAAGCTGGTCTATGGAAGAGTAAAGGTTCAAGAAAGCCAAGATAATCTTGAAGGAAATCAAAATAAGAAATTTATTTACTATAAAGCTATTATAATTAGAACAATGTGTGGGATCTCTTAGGTATCACTGTTAGGGTAGAATTATTTACTACTGGAGTTGCCAGATAAAATACAGGATGCTCAGTTAAATTTGAATTTTAGATAATGCGTAAACAATTTAAATTATATCCCAAATATTGCTAAAAAGTAATTTGTTGCTTCTCTGAAGTTAAAAAGTAACTGGGCTTCCTATATTTTATTTGCTAAATTTAGTAGCCTCATTTACCGTGCCTTTCCCCCGCCATCTTCCAGTAAGTAGAGATCTTTCTTTGGTGCCAGTTTCACATTATCTCTCACCTCTTCTGTGCTGCTAAAAGAAAGCTGAACTACTGATGATCCTCCCCTGCAGTTAACTCCCAACGCCCTCCCTTAGGCTAAGGTTCCACTGTAGAGTTCTCTGAATTTGTTTCCAAGCAACTGTTTCTTTTGCTCACTTACTTAGGCCTGTGCTCTGGCAATGTGACCCAGAATTAGCTTTTTTTTTTTTCTTCAAATGGTAGTCTAGCACAATGTCTTCCTTAAATACGTTACTATTTATTGTCCATGAACTAGTACTAGCATCAGCTGGGAACTTATTAGAAAAGAGAGATCTCAGTAAGGCCCATGCACTCACTGAATTAGAATCGCATTCACTCACTTCACTGTAGATAATTCAATTAACAGAACATTAACCAAGCACCTTCTATATTTACAGAGTACATCAAAAAAGAATAAGAAACACACACAGACATGCACTTGCCTTCTAGGAAGTTTGATACTTAAGGGAAGATTATTTGAGAGGGGGAGAAGGAGCTGTAAATTTCATAAACTAGGTTTGGAGAAAAATACCTGGCTTCAGTGGAAAACTGCGCCGTTGAGAGTACAACCTTCAGGTTGCCACATTCCGATTATGTGGGAGCTCTGAGTCTTTCACTGCCTTTGAGCTATTTTACCCTGGACAAGAGTATATAACAGCAATGCAGAGCAATTCTTGTCCATATTCTTGTAAATTCTGTCAGAGGTACAACTGACTCCCCTGGCTCACTGGGGAAGAAGACAGTTTTGCCTCTATTTGCTCATTTATTTCAATATTCCTGATCAATAAATGTGTCTGTTCTATCATTTGAACTGGTTATAACATCTTACCAATCCCCTAATTGTTAATAAGGAAAATAAAAACCAGGTACTACTGATTTTATATCAGTGTCACAGTCACAATTTTACTTCCTCTTTTTTTTTTTTATGGAAAATACGTTAAACACAGGAAAAGTCACTTGGACCAGCACAGTATCTAGTATTTCTCACAGAAGGGGAAAAAAAAAATCAGCTTCTATGGGACTGGATGAAAACCATACAACAAATAAGCCCTAAATGTGTTAATTTAGACCTGATTAATTTAGATTGGTTTTCCACTCTCCCCTCCCTACCCCACTTTTAGGAAAATGTCACTATGGTACAATTGAGATCGGTCTGTAAGTATTTCCAAACTAAGTGATGTAGGATTTATTAATTCCTGAATGTCAATGAGTATCCTAAAGGCCTTCCTATATAAACATTTCAAAGAATTTTATTTGTACATTTAATTATTTTCCACTTCAAATAAAAAAGTGCCTTTTAACAAGCTGAATTTCACCTGAGACCTGTACTCCTGGTTCTTGACCAGGCTTGCCTAAAGAAAGCCTCCTACTCTCTGTACGGCTTCTGTAAGACTCAGGAACATCCCACTGTTCACCTACGACCAGAACAAAGGACCTCCAAATCCCCACTGTCTCATTTATAAATTTATGCGCATTCAGCTGAACTGCTCGCTGAAATAATCAATTGGAACAAAATTGGAAAAATACAGCTAACCATATTTTAAGTTTCTCTCCTTCCTCTAGGCCCCTGAACTTTGGTATAACCTCAGCCAGAGCCAGCAAAGGATCCCTCCAGAGAAAAAGCTGGCCTTAGGCTAAAACAATCTGGGATCTATAATCAGACCAAGCAGTTCTGTTCCAAGCACTGTTTCCTCTTCCCCTGAGAAGCTGGTAAATCTTCTGGTCCAAGAATTCGCTTCACTGCAATAATCTCTTTTCCCCTCTGGCAACAATGCTTTCAATAAAGTCTCTCCCTACTAACTCCGGATTTTATATTTGACACTTTCTTTAAAAAGTTCTGCATTCTCAATTTTCTCTTGCTTTAGAATTGCCAATACTTTCCCTCAGTAACTAAACAGAGTATGTTTTGTGATTCTAAGATTAACTTTCAATATTTTTATAACACTGCCAGAAGAGTTGAGAGAGAAAGAAGTAAATATAGATTTGTTAGACTTCATTCTTCTATACCTGAGGTAGTAAACAAGTACTGGATATCTGCTCCTCATATGACATGAACACTGACAGCTCAGGGAATATGCCTTTTTAAAAAATTGAGGTACTGACACAACATTATATTAGTTTCGGATGTACAATGAAACAATACAATATTTGTATATATTGCAAAATGATCAGCACAGTAAGTTTAGTTAACATCTGCCACCACAGTTACAAATTTCTCTTTCTTTGATTTTTCTTTTTTTAAAGTCTACTCCCTCAACAACTTTCAAATATGCAGTACAGAATTATTAATTAGTCATCAAGCTGGATGTCACATCCCCATTACTTATTTACAGCTGGAAGTCCGTACCTTTTGACTCCCTTTTCACCCACTTTGCCCACCCTGACTTTTTGCAATGGCAATTTCCAATCTGTTCTTTTAATTCCAGTTTGGTTTTTAAACACTACAATTTAAATTTATTTTTTCTAGATCCCTTGAAGTAAGTTTCAAGCATTTCCTCTTGCTATCCATTACCCAACTCCAAGGTAAGTAGGTTAGGTGCACTGAAGCAGTGACCTCAAACAAGGCCATGATGCGAGGTTCTCCTAATGACACGAGCTCTAAGGCCCGGTCGTAGGCCTCCTACAGGGGTTAGAGCAGGACCCCTCTGTTACCACTCTTAAAGTCAGTAGGAAAAATCACATTAAGAGGAACTTCAGCCAAACAAAAAACTTACTGTATTTTTAGGTCAACTTTTAAGAATCTCTCCCTTTCATGAAAAAAGTCTTTTTTCAGTATAGGGACAATTTATATAAGGCATTTTCGCATTTACCTTTTATTTAATAAAAAAATAATAGTAATTCCATTCACCCCTCCTATGCAAATCAGCAGTTTCAGGCACGGGTGCGTGCACACACATGTCATGCCTCTTGCAACTGTCAACTTTTTGGGCCTATTATCTTCAAATACTACCTACAGGACATGTGAATGGGCACCAAGAGAAAGGGTAAATGGTTAAGTGAAACAGTATTACGCCTCAAGACCCAGGCACCATAAAGTGAACTTCAGACAATAATACAGTCCACGGTATCATTTAAAATATTTGGGAGGTCCCAAAGATGACAATGTATAAGACCCTGAACTTATCTCTTCACATGAACATGCTGAATTTGTACCTACATACAGATCAATTCCTGCTGAAGAAATACTGAGGGCTGCAGAACAAGTGATAGAGAGGTCATATAGAGGATGGGGTAAAAGCAAGAGAGACATGGTATCAATGGGAAACCCACCAACAAGGGTCTTCAGTACAGACGAATATCACTGAGGAGTCTGTACACAGATTTGCCCCTCCTGGGACAGAGCAAAAAAGCAGCTGTTTAAAGGGCACCTACACTATCATGAAGGAAATCCATTTACTAACCCTAAAGAGTCTACCAAATGAGCAGAGAATTTCTGAAACTGTCTCTGTGGTCTAAGACACCAGAAAGAGATGTGGGTTTGATCCCTGGGTCAGGAAGATCCCCTGGAAGAGGGCATGGCAACCCACTCCAGTGTTTCTGCGTGCAGTATCCCATGGACAGAGAAGCCTGGCAGGCTATAGTCCATATGGTTGTACAGTCAGACATGACTGAAGCAACTTAGCATGCAAGCTCGTGAATTTATATATATATATATATATATGCGCACACATACATCATTATTATATGTCAATATATATGAACCTATGGTAACCACAAACCTACAACAGATACACAAAAAACAAAAAGAAAGAAATCCAAAAGTAACAGCGAAAAAATAAATAATCAAACCACTAGGGAAGAGAACAAGAGAAGAACTACAAAAACAACCAGAAACAATCAACAAAATGGCAATAGGTACATGGAAAAGGTCAGATTTCATTCCAATCCCTAAAAAAGGCAATGCCAAAGAATGTTCAAACTACCACACAATTGCACTCATCTCACACGCTAGTGAAGTAATGCTCAAAATTCTCCAAGCCAGGCTTCAGCAATACGTGAACCATGAACTTCCAGATGTTCAAGCTGGATACAGAAAAGGCAGAGGAACCAGAAATCAAATTGCCAATATCCGCTGGATCATCAAAAAAGCAAGAGAGTTCCACAAAAACATTTATTTCTGCTTTATTGACTATGCCAAAGCCTTTGACTGTGTGGATCACAATAAACTGTGGAAAATTCTTAAAGAGATGGGAATTCCAGACCACCTGACCTGCCTCTTGAGAAATCTGTATGCAGGTCAGGAAGCAACAG